CTCTTCATCAGTGACCCACTTTTTTTCCAAGCTTTATATCCTTCTCCAGTAACTGGCCCCTCTTGATAAGTTGTCTGAAGTCTATTGTCCTTGCTTCTATGGAGCAGGGTGGCTTTATAGATTTGTTTGATCTTTTGGCATGGTATTCAGTGTTCTTTGCTAACACTACAAGTTTAAGGCATTATTTCTTTTTTGGGGGGCATGTGGTATATTGTCTATTATTTCATGCACAGTTCCTTTGTAGAATACTATTGGTTTGTTGATTTATTCAGTTGGGCCAGTTAAGTCATGTGATTTGGGTCATATTAGGTTTCTGTGTCAATGGAGGAGAGGGGGCACATTTAAGTCATGTCTACAAGGTTTCCTGTCAATACCTGGATACCATCCAATCTATCGCTCATAAGTGGCTACATAACACACAACATAACATATTGTGTGATTGGACGTGGGTTTGAGGCTTGAGGAAAAGAGCATCCTGACACAAAAATCCTTTCAGCGAGCTCACAGAACATTGCTGGCTCTAGACTCCAGAAAACATTCTTTTGTTCTGCAAGAGCAGTTTCTTTGCCTTCCATGTCTTCTGGGGAAAGCCTGTTGGTTGGCAGTGACCATACACTCACTGTCTGTGCAGATGAGGGTCTAGCTGATGCTGAGAAGGTGGTGATAGTTCCTCAAGGTTATCATATCTCTAACCAGCCCTTCTGCAATGGCAGCATTATCATGAAAACATCACTTTAGCAAGCTACACCACCTTGACATGGCATCCGGTTTTGTACGTCTTTTCTTCCTAGCAGCCTGTGCATTGTACCATCTTATCCACAGAATAGAATGATAACAGGGTCACTACTGTATGTGTGCACTTCCATTGCAGCTTTATTGAGACAGCCTATCTGAGTCATGGACCACTGGCTACTCCTGAGTCGTAAGGGCTGGGGCAACAGACTGAGCAAGTCTGACCAGGGCTGTTCCATCCGGATGAACAGTAAGTTCAGAAATGTATTCTCCAGCCGCCTAATGCTAATCTGTCTAAATAGGCTTGATTAATTGAATAATATTCTAATTTTGAGTTCAACAGACTCAAACCTCATTATCAGGCAAAGAAGTAGTTATCTGTTTCAATTTTGATATGGCATTCAGGAATAATATGTTTTAATATGAGAAATCCCTTTCAGGAATTAATTCAGCATAGGTTTGTTTGGTATTTTCTCCCCTCTTACTTTTTTGAAGTAAGCCTTTTTGGTTGTTAGTTGTAGTTGCTATCAAGTGGATTCCAACTGCTGGTACCCCGGGTGTGTCAGAACATAACAGGGCTCTCCAGGCTTTGGATGGCTGTGATGTTATGGAGCTGATCTCCAGACCATTCTTCTGAGGTGACTCTGGGTGGATTCGTAGTTGAGTACAGAACCACTTCCACCACCCAGACATGTTATAGTATTAAACATTGTTTATGCCAAGATATATCATTGCTATTTAAAATATAATTCTAAAGACAATTTAAGAATTGATGGTAGTTTATCACTGAAAGGACATCATGTCCTTCTTTTCCCAAGGACTGATTTCATACTTGAAGTATGTGAGATGAAGTTCACCAACTTTGTCTTTAAGGAGCATCTGGGTTGCTCTTCCTCCAAGACAAATTTGTTGATTTTTCTGAAAGTCTAGGGTACATTTAGTACTCTTCCTTGATAGCACAATTCAAAGGCATTGCCTTCCTCATCGCTCAACTTTCAGATGCATAGGAAGCAACTGAAAAATGCCATGACTTGGATCAGGTACGTGTCAGTATTTAAACCAATATTCTTGCCCTTTAGCAGTTTGGAAAGATCTTTGACTACAGATTTTCCCAATGGAACATGTCTTTTGATTTCTTGGCTGCTGATGCCATGAAAGTTGAATGTAAGATCATCAATTTTTCCCCCATCTATCATGAATGATGTTGCTTAATGATTTATTAGTGAGGATGTTTGTTTTCTTGGTATTGAGACAGAATCCACATTGGAGGCTATGGCCTTTGGTTTTTTCTTCAGTGAGTGTTTCATGTCTTCATGCTCAGCAAGCAAGGTTGTATCATCTGTATAACACAAGTTGTTGATGAATTTTCCTCCAATTCTGATGCTAATTCATCATGATGGGTCAAAGAAGAAGAGGCCAATCCTCAATAAAATGAACTGGCACAGTGGTTATCACAATGGGCATGTTGGAAATCATGGGGTAATGCAGGATAGGGCAAGGTTCAGACCTGTTCGTAGGGACTCCATAAGGTGTATGTAGTCAACTTGATGACACCTAACAACAATAAAGATACCACTTAAAAAGGCCATGAAACCATGTAAACTATATAAATAGACATACCCACACTCATACACATGGACACAGGAGATACCTACCTGCACATAGATCGTCACAGCTCAGTAGTTTAGCAAAGCCTTGCAAACTTCGCATACACTGCAGTAACTCTTAGTATGACTATATAGAGAAAATCTAATTTTCAGACTTCCTACCGCTCAGGGACCATTTTTATTGGACACTTACTTTGATTAGTTAATTGGTATGAGACAGCAAAGGCTCTTGCATGAGGACACAAAATCGCAACTACTCAAGTGCTGGGAAGAATTGGGGATTGAACTTGACGACAGACTTTGGTTTTCCTGGATATAAAGTGCAAATTGAAGACTAGAGTGGTACTGATCTTGGAAGCAGCAGAAATTCCTAACCTACATGGAAAATAAAGAGGGAAAGAATGAGGGGCAGCTAGAACCCAAAATAAAAAGTTAGAAAGAGGGGAGAATGTCTACTATGGGTGTTTCATTATAAACCAGCATTCTTGTCTTCCAGATATTTAAAAGAGATTTTGAAGAACATTTACTAGGATTGTTTAAATATAAACCAACATTTGTGTCTTCAAGATATTTAAAGAAGATTTTAAAGAATGTTTACTGTGGACATTTCAATGCATTTCTGTATTCCTATGCAGCTGTCAAGGAAGCGCTTGCTCTTTATATATTTACTATTGTGTAGGGTGTCTTCTCTGCTTTTAGACAGCAAGGAGCAGAGACTAGGTTGCCCTGGCTTGGAGACGGGTCAGTAACAGGATTTCAAACTCTTGCAGAAAGGGAAACCTTGAGTGATGGAGAAACCAAACCAAACCCCCAAATTAAACGCCTCATGTCAGTTCTGACTCACGATGACCTTGTGTGTGCAGAGTTCAGCTCTACTGCATAAGGTTTTGAAGTCAGAATGCTTTGGAAGCAGATTGTCAGGATTTTCTTCGGCGGTATCTCTGGGTAGGTTTGAACCGGTAACTTTATTTTGTTTGTAAATGTTTTAAATTGTGATTTTTTTTCAGAGAGACTATAAACCATGCAACCAAGTCTTTTATTACACAACTGTTTTTCAAATTATTTCCTTAATCTCTGTACACAGGCAATAGTAAGTGTACTGCTTAACATATTCGACCTTTCAAATCTGACAGTTGTTTGAAGGGAAAATAATCCTAAAGCAAAATTAACCAGGAGGCCAATGCATCTGCCGGCCTCCAAGAACATGGAGATGAACATGATAAACAGACTGCCCCCCATCTGAACCTTCATTCACCACCATTCGATAACCCTTTTGCAGGCCCAGATCAGCAGCACATTTCTTGCCAACAATCATGAAATGTCCAAGGA